GTGGTTGTTGCTTTAGTTGTTGCTGTTGTTGCTTTATACAAGTCAATATGGTTATTGTTATTGTCATTGGCGCATTGCCTGCAATTTGGCCATTTGGCAATAACAGACGACAAAAGCTTCACGTGTGTGCCCAACTGTGGCCAACATGTTGCCAGGCAGTTAACAATTCATTAGGTGTTGCATTGCCTGTTGCCGTTGTTGTTGCAGTTGTTGTTGCTTGCTTGCTTGCTTGCAGCCTGCTGCAACTGGCTAACAATTTATGGCATGTTGCCCCGCGGCCAACTTGATTCAGTTGGTCAAAGCTGGCCAAATGCGTCGCAAACGTTTCTTGGAAGAATTACCACAGATAGAATGATAATTTATGCAATATATATAGATATATGTGTATGTATATATATCGATATATATCTTTTTCGAACAGCCTGTGGAATGTGGTCTAGGCTACGTTTGTCATAAATTGTCGTCATCTGTGGTCGACCTCAACGATTCGTCGTCGTCGTCGTCGTCGTCGTTTTGTCTAGTTTTAACTGAAATACTATTAAGGCTTAGTCATGGCTATTAATAAATTGGCTACAGTGGGGTATGCACATTTCGTCACGCGACGTGTGACGTTTCTGTAAGTGTGAAGTCATGAATGGAATTGAAGTGTGTCGAAGATTGAAGATTATAATTTAATAAAGAGTTTAACTATATACGATGGAATAATAAGATTTTGTTTATGTCTTAGTTTTTCTACTTCCATATGTATTATAATCTTTCTATCTATCCATATCTAATATATGAAGATCTGTCATCTATTTGAAATGGTCTGTTTGTTTTTCTATTCCTGCTTATCAAGATTCTCATACAGGGTATACAGCATTCACTCTTGCTTTTTGTTATTCAGCGCACAACAACTGTTCTATGAGTCAATTGTTCATTAGTTCAAACTGTGATAAGTTCAAGTAATATGAGAGTAGTAAGAGCTTTATATATAGACTATTTACCAAATATATTGCCGAGCTGTGGGCAGATTGATTGAATTCGATGGCGAATTCTCTTTTTCTTTTCGTTCTTTTTTAGCTCTTATCTAATCTTAACTATATAAGACACGAGCGTCCAAAAGTTGCCCTAGTTGAGTCAAGTCAATAGTCAATTACAGTGCCCGCACACAAAGGCTGTCCATTATGTGAGTAATTTGCGTGAGAACGTTTGCAGAAGCAGAAGAGGAACTAGAGATTCCATATGGTATTAACATAGTGGTGTATATCCGCTGGAATGTACATATTAGATAATATAACAAGAGATAAAACATCTCGAGTTTGAGTAAAAGAAAAAAAAACGAAAGTTTGTTTTCGTTTCCAATTCAATTTGCGTGGCCATTGTGAGTTCTATTGTGAACGCATTTGTTTGCCTTAAAATGTTTTGGCAGATTTATGAGCTTATCTTTGTGGTGTGCATATGGAGTATATATACAATGTATGCCTCTCTATATATATAATCTCATAATGGAGACCACAACTCTGCTGTAATTTAGTTTTTCAAAGGCTTTTCTTGACTTCATTTTCGTCGCGCTTTGTGGCTTTTGTGTGTAGCCAAATATTTGCTGTCATCTTTTATGTGTGTCTCTGTCTCTTGTCTGCCTCGCGCTCTGCCGCCCTTTTGGTTTATCTTTTTGTTTATTAATTGCGAGCGCGTGTATGTGTTGCTTCTTCCTCTTCTTCTTCTCTATATTTCTTAAAAAACATGTTTGGCATAAACTTTGGGCGCCTCGAAAGCAAACTTTTCCTGGAATTAAGTCGTTTATTACCGCATCTATTGCTGTGTCCGTCCAGTGCCTTGGCAGTGTTATGTAACGTCGTATAGCAGGTGCATCTCTCCGTCTCGCTCTCCCTTTCTGCCTTTGCTATTGTGCAGAGGGCATTAGGTTAAATCACCTTTGTGCCCAGCTCATCTTCATCTTCATCTTCAGCTTCGGCTTCGGCTTCAGCTTAAATTTGCATAGCTTTTCGGCTAATAGCTTGATTTGTGGCTTGTCACATTAACCATAAATTGTGTTTTACAACACTAATTAAGTTGTTTTCAGCGCTGATTGATTCCACTTAACTTTAACATAAGCAAATCAAGCTGGCAAAGCACTAGAGTGGAAAGTGAGTCTTGGGGATTTAAAACTCATTAAATTTGTGAAGAAAATTTGAGTCTATTGATGGATCGAAATGCTATTAATGTTGGCTTAATTTAACTATCAGAGTCGTGGAAGAGCTCCTATATTAATGTAGTAGTAATAGCTAGAGTAATTACAGACTATTAAATTAACAATATTTAGCTAAAATAACTTATAAACAATTTGTTAGCTACAGACTTATTTATACATAAAACGTATGAGCTATATTTAACTCTTGATTGTGATAACTATTTATATATAATTTGTAGAATCTGTCATCGTTATATTTATCTAATCCTCTTTCAGTTACTATATGAGCAGAATTCTTTTCGAATCTTCTTTTCTTCATTTTTGCTTTTGGCCAAATCAGTTCAACACTTTTTGCCTATCTCTCGCATCTTCAGATTCTGTATAGCAATCGCGAGCTTCGGCGATTCACTGGCATATTAATTATGTGATTGGGTAATGGGCCCCTTATATAACGTCCGAAATGTAAATGTGCAGAAGCACTTTAAGCCAAGCCATAAAATTATGATTGTTTTTCAATGAGTCATGGCCTGGACATGGCTAAAACCGAAGCGCAGTGCCTTCCCTCCCCCCCTCTATGCAATGCAAATAGCAAAATTTGCATGACTAGAGAGGAAGAGAAAGAGAGCTATGGAGAGAGGGAGAGAGACAGGAAGACTGGGGGTAGGGGTACTCACTCTTGACTATTTTGCGAGTGACTAAGCCAAAGTGTTTGGCGAGCTGTTAAAAGTAAAGTTGAAGCCTAAAAGCCTGGCTAAGAAGTGCCGAGCAGCGGATGGCTCAAAGCCATAAATAAGTATATGTATGTATACATATATAAATACACGTATTTATGTATATGTATGTGCATGTGTTTATCTATTTATATGATTCGCTCAACGACGTTGGCCATTGCCTTGGCCAATTCATTTGCCCACTGCACTGGCAATGTGTAGGCCGCTTTTGGCCGTAAGTTAAAGTTTCGCTTTCACGAACAAACCACAAGAACCGCCAAAAAAAAGCCAAAATCAAAAACCAACTGCGAAAAGTGCAAGTCGAGGCCTTTTTTAAATTGGCCCCGCGGTCTCGACTTGAGCCGCGGGCAAAACTCCTGTGTTTCTTTTTCTTTTGTGGCTCTCAACAATTATAATGGCTGGCAAACGTTATTTACTGCTTTTAACGTCGATTTGTGTGTCGCGGCACGCCCCTTCAGCCGCACCACCACCAGCAGCAGCAACCACCCACTCAACTCGCTGGCCAGACAGTTGCCGACAACTTCACGTCTCGCGCCCCCCTATCGGGTGTGTGTGTGTGGATCACTGCGATTGTTGTCACTGGGAAGCCCCTTTGCTATTACCTCTACAGGGTATATCTGGGCTTGTAAACTTTGTTAGAGAATTGATCCAGTTGTATGTCGGATATTTGTGGGTGATCTACAGTCATTTGATCTTCGTTTTTCTCTCTCCATGAGTCTCTGAAATTCTATAAAAATCTCTCTTTCTTTGTCTATAACCATCTCTCTCACTCTCTACATTTATACATCTCTCTCATTTCTCGCTCTCTTTCTCTATATGTAGCTGTCTTTCCTTTCCTGTCTCTCTCTCCCGTACTCGTTTTCCAACTTACAGGGTATCTCACACGTCCACTCCGTATTGCACTTCCTACATATGCGTAATTGTTGTTCCTGTTTGTTGTTTTTAGCAGTTGCTGCCGTTTTTTTTTTTTTTTAACTATTATAACTGGCTGCTGTTTCGTGGTATCTTAAGTGGCTAAATAAACGCTTGCAGCCAATTTTGGAGCGAGTCGGAGTTGGCCTAAACGTGCTTTGGCTTGATTTGCATACGAATTTGGCCCACAAGTGTTTTCGCGACTAATTTCGTATGAAAATTTGATTGCTCCCGATTAGAATCGTGTTCATTGTTTTGGCCGACAGACAGGGAGACAGACAAACGGACCACCCTCGTCCAGGCCCCCTTCGCCCCCTTTGGTCAGCTGAGCGAGCGTTTGTTTGTTTCTTTCGGAATGAAGTAATATTTCTGCTTCTCTTTTTGGGCGTTCGAGTCGTTGGCCTTCCACTGTAATTATGTAGTTGTCAGTCGGAGTTGGCTTTAATTGCTGTTTACAGTTAGCACTGTTGCGTGGGTGTTATGCGAGCCATAAGTTCACATATGACGTATATCGTATATATGGCCAACAGCTCTGGCAATCGTCGGTTCCTTTGTCTGTAAGCAGACATCGCAGTCTCTTGGCAATTGCTAATTTGTGCAGCCACTTAAGATTGGTGCAGTGTTGCAATCTGATGCACGAATTTAAATATTTGATTACGTGTGTGAATATCGCTGCGAGAATATCTCTAAGAGCTGCAAGAGACTCGATTGCTTACAGTCGCAAATGTTTCATAATTCCATTTAGTTTCTTAGAGTGACACAATTGAGCATTAAAAGAACTGGAATATATGGGAATGACTTCATGTCCCATTCTTCATAGTTCTCTCTCACTATCTCTGTCTGTTTCTGTTTTTCTCGCTCCAGTTCCATTGATTTTTCTCTGCTGCTATCACTCCCCTTATTTCTTTTATTCTCTCCTCGCCTTCTCTATATTCCGCTCCTCTACGCGCTTCTCATAAATTCAAATATCGCTGATTTTGTTGCTTCGCTTGCTCACTGATCTCTTGCTTCCTCTTCAGGCAAAGCGGCTTCATCAGTTAGTTTATTTATGGCCAACTCTATATACATATATACACATATATTCATTTGAAACTTGTATTTAGCATAATTGATGCGATTCGAAGTGCTTTGGACTAATTCGCGTTAAACGCTTTTGTTTCTTTTTCTCTCTCTTTTAATTGCAGTGAAATTCACGATTAAATTGTGATTTTTTTTCTTTTTATCAAGAAAATAACGAAAAGATTTTTGCATAAAAAGCAAACGAACGGGAAATCGGATTTAAAATCCCGCCAGGAACTGGAACTGAGTCGAAAATAGATAAAACAACGTAGAGGTCGAAGCAGCACAGCGGAACGCATGGCATGAAACGAACGGAACGCCCAGCCGTGGCAGACATGCAAATTTATGCATTTTGAAGTCCAGTAACAAACAAAAGCAACAACAACAGCAGCACTAACAACAACGAAACACGATTTAAAGCAGATTTTAAGCAAATTAATTAAATTAACAAACACATGGAAATCGGAACCAAAAACAATTAGCGCCACACTATGGAAGCTGCCACAGCAACGCGAAATCGAGCAGACGAGATGGATGAGGTGGAGATTGAAGCAGAGGCGGTGACGGTGGCGGTGGCAATGGAGATGGGCGTGGCCACAGAGGAGACGTCATTTAGCAACCAAGAGACTGATAAAGCGGCCATCACAATGAAGTGCAGCAACGGAAGCACTGACATAACTAATACAACAACAGCAACGACGACAGCAACAACGACAGCAACTACCACATTGAGATTGGAGGATGTGGCTGCATTTGTCATGCCAGCAGTGGGCGCCACCAATCCACGCACCACCAAACCCGCAACGAAATCAGCGAGCAGCAGCCGCAGCAGCTCACTAAGAAAACAAAAGCAAAAGCTCAACATGCTGGATGTGATTGGATGTGGTGCAGGTGGTGGTGGTGCGGGTGGTGCAGACGTGGGTGCGATCGGTGGTGCCGCCGTCAATGATATGAAAACATCACAATCGATGACCTCGCTGCCAGCGGACGAGCTGCAGCAGGAGCGACGTGATGTCATCCAAGCCAAGCTGCATCTGGAGCGGCCCTACAACAGCCTCAAGGTAAGTGGGGACCAGGTGTTGCCAGGTGGGAGACTCTGAGTGACTCGTTTATGCTGCGTGCATAAATTTGCAATTGAGAGTTAAATATTTCTGTGCATGGCGCCTACCCCTTTCTCTCCCCCCTCTCCTCATATGCTCTGCTTGGCGTGTGGAAGCCAACTAGTTGAGCTGGTTCGCGCAGACTGTGCAGGTGGATCAGGTGGGTTAGACTGAGAGGGGGCAGGAGCTGGTCATGGCATGGCTTCAATGACATGTTGCCGTTAGAATATGAATTCTTGAGCTCGTTCTTGTCGCCAGCGTCAACGGAAATTGCTTTTAATAAATTATTAATCAATTTTAATTTCGTTATTAGCATGCGAGCGAAATGTGTTAGAGAGAGAGGGAGAAGGGCAGGGAGAGGTATAGACAGGCGTATATATAACGGTTCACAAATTGCTATATATGCATGTTTTTTAATATGTCAAAACATTCCACTTAAGCAGAGTAGTTTGATTGGAATGAAGGGAACTAAAATGTTCCAATTTTGTTATACAATAGAAGCGTGAAATAGGCATAGAGTGAGAGAGAGAGTAAGAGAGTTAAAGAGAGAGGTGGCAATAATTTTAATGGAGAATTTGAGCAAGTTTCGACAGTTTGCATAAATAAAGTCTTCTTTGATCGATGCTAAAATTAGGTTTTAATAGTCAGAATCTTTATTACAAATTTAGTTTTAGATTAGCTGAAGTGGGTTTAGACAGAATTGTTAATATAAAAGATGATTACTGATATATAAATTACATAATGAATTTTGGAGTATGAGATCAAAATTACTAACTAAACAATAAACTAAACTATAATTATGTGATAAATCAAAATATATTCAAATTGTACGAGCATCTCTTATGCACACTCAACTACTTTGCTCATTGCATATTAATCGAACATCGATTGTGCCATTTGGCAATTGTATGATTTATCGATTTGGCTCGCATTCTTGAGCGAAGCGGAAAGCGGATTACAGATGTTTGGTTGTCTAGCGAATTCAGTGAGTGAGTCGAAGAGTCGATGAATCGGTGAGTCGAAGAGAAGAAGATTGCGCTGCTGCAGCAGCTGTCGATTATTCAATGCAATTAATTTCGCGTCATTCAATCAAATTACGTTTGAAATTCCATTTCATTTCGATTTCTGTGTAAGCCGACGGCGAAGCTGTGTAAATGAGAAATTTCCCCCTGATTGTTGCGCGCACAAATAAAAATTCATCAATTAATTGCGCGCGCATTGCAATGTGGAGCATTGTCAAGCAGACGTTGGCGAGGGAGGCAGGCCGATGAAGTTGGCTCCGAAAATGGCTAAGCATATTATCGCGTCTATATTTGGCAGCTCAAATTACTCATTTATTAACAAGCACATTGAATCCGTCTCTTTCTCTCTGGTTGCAGAAAAACTCACAGAGCAGCAGCAGCAAGTGCTCCGGCGGCAACAATAGCAACAAAATGCACCGTTATTCGTGGGGCAGCGGCCACAGCCACAGCAGCTCGACCAGTCTGCACAGCAGCGCCACCTTGGGACTCGGCTCGTCGGGCAAAGACGACCTCTGGGCGGCCATACAAACGAACTATAACTATATTATGGACACAAACCTGCTCGATACGTGCAAAGAGGCAAGGTTTGAGATTGAGGAGGCGCAGCCAACGTCACGCGAGTCGAAATTTACGGGCAGCCAGTTGCATGTGAGTAGAAACCAAACGCCAGCTAGTGTTGAGTAGCTGCAACTTGTATGAGTACTAAAATGAACTTGAGCAGTTCACTGCTTAGCAAAGTTTCACACCGAATTGTACTAAAAATCAGCTAAATTAAATTAGCTCTTCGTTGATTTAATAAATTCTTATTGTTTATAGATTTTGGATGAAACACAGCGGCCGGAGGGCTTGTGCGAGGATCCCAAGGAATTGCGTCGCTGGCTACGCGACATGGAGAATAAATTGGAAAATGCGCCAACCATATCGGAATTGACGCTGTATTGTAATTCGGAGTTGCAGCGCCATCTAGCAGTACACTCGGTAAGTTCAGTTTTCTACACTCCAAACATGTTGCCTAAGCCCAGGCGCAAATGTTGCTGCAACATGCGTGTATAAGCGGCATGTTGCCAAGAGCCGAGTCGTAGAAATCGCTGGAAATAATTAATTTTAATTATTAATTGAGTTTTTAAATACAAAAATTGTGTTGTGTAAGCTATGGTAATTGGACCCGTTTGAATTTTTCGGGCAATTTTCTCATAAAATGCTGCTGTTTATAATATAAAGACCAATAAATTAAACTTTCAAAGTCCAGAGGAAAACCTTCAAAGCGAGTAAGAGAGAGAGAGAGAGAGAGAGTGTGAGAGAAATATATAAATTTGATAACAAGACAAAAAACAAGTCCGAAAAACGCCGAGATACTAATCGTAGGTAAAAGTGTAACGAAGTGAATAGAAAAATTACACGCGTTTCATTTTGCTTTTCATTTGCAATGACTTTGACTTTGTGCCACATGCGGCAGCTACTTGGCTATTGAGTCTCGGCCAGATTGTGTAACTGAGGCAATGATTGAGATCCCCGTCCTCCAAACTGCAACGACTTCCTCTCAAAATGTAAACCTTAGACAATGTTGGCTTGTTTTCATTTTCATTTATTGTACTAAAAAGTGAAAATTGCTTGTAAGAAAATATAAAAAAACTTACAATTGTTGCTGCTGCTGCTGCTATTGTCTGTGTCTGATWGAGCCCAAAGCTTGAGCTCAGACTGCAGAAGCGGACGTCAGTGTAATTGCAACACCTTCCCAAGTTTTGTTTAATGTCTTTTTGGTGGGGGGATTATTATCTATCTATATATACATATACACATATATATGTATGTATTTGTGTATAAAATATATATAGTAGATGTAAATTATGCAATGAGCGAAGCCTGTGAAAAACTATGTGAGTTATTTAGTCTCCGGTGGGGCGAGGGGGCAGCCTCGCACACAAATCTAAGACGGAAGAGCTGCAATTGCTGCTTAGCCTTGGGGGCTTGGCTTGACTTGACTTGACTTGGCTTGGCTTGGTTTGGCTTGGCTATGCAGCATTTTCGGTGCTGATTGAACATGACCATGACAGCTTCAGACAGCTGTCTGGATAATGTGATAGCTGAGTGAGTGAGAGAGAGGGTGAGAGAGAGAGAGAGAGAGTGCGGGAGGGAGCGTTATATAAGAATATTTTGCATTTTGTTGCTAAAAAACAGAATCAAATCAGTAAAGAATACATTCTTCTAGTGTTTTATACCTTTCCACCTGTCTGCCTGAACGGTAATCAACAATTTTCCCACATTTAACCTTCACTTGCTCAACCCCTCGATTGCTCCCATTAAAATCTCAGCTCAAATCTCTTTCCTAGAAAATTTCTCAAATATTTTCTTTGCTTTTTCTATTTGTATATCAGCGTGTTGCATAACAATGGCTTTTATTCGCTCTTGTTTATTTCACATTTTCTCGCTAATTGAGCATTCCATTTAGGTGGAATTCAGCAGGTCTCGATCTGATCCCCTTCATCCAGCTAAAATGATGCATGTGGGTTGCAGTTCCCACCCGCAGCTGTTGGCATTCGCAGCCACGAGCCAAATGAAAGTAAACAGCCAAAAGAAACAACAAACAGACAAACAACAAGCGAACAGCAAACAATAACAATGCGAACTGTTAGACAAAATATGTGTGTTGCATTCGCAAAGCAAACAAAAAGCGAAAACAAAATCGAAAATTGCAATCAGCTTGCAGCTTCGATGCATCGCCTCCGTTTTGGCCCACTGATTTACGACAATTGTTTTGTCACGTCGCCGATTGGCAACTAGAGGAAGGCAGAGTGGAGGGGGCGGTGTCGGGGGTGGAGCCTATTAGGGTGGGGAGCAGATAGAGAGGAACTCTCGAGCCGGCAGCCGAAATGTCAATTGCCCGAAAATGGTTAAACATATTTTCAATAAGTTGTTAGGCGTTTGTCTCTGTCGATTGTTGTTGTCTGGCAGGCGGCACGCAGCGGCAGCAGCAGCGGCAGCTGCTCCCTCTCCCTGGCTACCCAACACCTACCCCTGCAGACCCCACTTCCCCAGCTGCCCCATCCACACCTGCAGCTGGAGCAGTTGTCAATACGGAGGATGCATTCGCTTTGGACTCCACTTACTGCAGCCATTGGCGAATGGAAAGGCATGGAAGTATATGAGCGGAGTGATAGACTAGCAGATACCCTGTAATAATAATCTCAGTTCACTCTATAAAAAGCTATAGCTAGAGAGGMTATAAAGAGGGGGAAATTCATAAAGAAAATTATCTCTGTCGGCATACCCTGTCTATCTGACTGCTCAAGCAGGGTATGCATATTTGTCAGCCAGCGGCTGATTATCTCTCAAATATGAATTCATGGCTCGCTTGTAGGATGCGGGCCAGCTGCTGCTCCTCTGCGCCCATAACAAGCTCCCAACGCACTCGAGTGGGGGGCTTGGGGCCCAGGCTTGGGTTGCCTGCCCCCTTGGGTAAAACTGAGACTGCCAAATGCGAACTTTCCAAATATTAATTGAAATCTTTGCCACGGTGCGTTCTGGTTGCAACAAGCGTGTTGCAACGAGCGCATGTTGCGTGTGTCAGCTTAACAAGGATGTCTCTGTTAAGGCCCAGCTCCAAAAATGGCCAAAAGCGCAATGGCCCAAAGTGGACTGTGGGTGAGTGAGCTGCTTGGCTGGCAGATACCCTAGGAATAATTTAGAGGAACTATTATAATCTGTGTATTTATGCAAACTTTTCTAAAATGTGCATAAATACTCTAATAATCAGTAAGAAATGTTAACTGAACTATAAAATACCCTGTAATTTACTGGGATATGTTTTAAACTACTTAAGTGTTCGAGCTGCTTTAGCTTGTATACAAAAGAAAACCTAGACTCATTAAATTTATAAACAAAATGCATAGCAAATGACAGACTAAGAGATACTCCTTGATTATTAACGCCAACGTCGCAGCCAACGATTCTTCTTAGGACTTACTTAAAATAGATACCCTACGAAAAACACCTCTAAGAGTTTGATGGACTATGAAATACCGAATATATACTGCGCTTAGTATTTCATAAGTGAGTTGACTGTCTAATAGCTCACAGAAGATCTGTTAGACTAGGAGATATCCTCTTATATTTATGTATACGATTTCCATCTATATATAATCTTAAGACATATAGAGTTTTAATAGTTCCAGCCACGCTTCTTGGTAAACCCTTTTGCTTACAGGGTATGAGGCACTGCATAGCTTTGCGTTTTTCTGCCAGTCTCCACAAGAAAAGTGAAGGTGGCTCGCCACGCTCGTATTGGCCAAGCCAAAGCCTTGCCAAAGCGCAGCCAATGCAAGCCATAGCCAAAACGCTGTAACCTAATGACAATGACAATTGATTATGCGGGTTGTGCATTGCCGGATTCCAGTTTTGGGGCGCCCAGGAAGTGGCCGAGTTTGTCGCTGGTTTGGGCTTTATGGCGGCCATAATTTAAAGTCGCCGCCAATTCGATTTGGATCTGTTTTTTCGCCAGTTGTTTGTCCAATTCTACCCACTGACCATTGTTGCTCTCGTTGCCGTCGTCGCCGTCGTCGTCGATGTCCTCCGCAATCTCAGCACTCGATTTGCATAACAATTGGTCGAACTAAACCTTTCGCCCAATAAGTTAGAGCGGCGGCAGTCAAGTAGCCGCAGCCCAGTGGAGCTGCCTGCGGTCCAGCATATGCGCCAGCTGACCAATAAAACATTGCCGAATTAGCTATAAAAATCCGTTGATTTCGCTGCACTTTCGTTTGGCCCAGCAAATGAACCTTAAAATCAACTTTCCATTAAATGTTTCCTTTTCGTCTCTTTGCTGCAATTGCCTTTGCAGCTCATATAAATAATAATGGAGTCTGCCTGCTCAATTAGGCATTGAATAATGAAGTTTCTCAACTAAATATTTTGAAATGGATGTTTAGTGCCTTACAGCTTGAATTTAAGATATGGCAAAGACATTTTAGGAATTTTTTGAGTGTCTAGAAGTGGCAACCCCTAACTATTATCGATAATTTACTGAAATAGAAACTCTGTTCATTTTCCTAGCTATTGACTTTATTTTCTATCTATCTAATTAACTTCCGAGCTATGAAGCCTTCACACACCTGACAACCCTGTTTGATATTGTGAACTCAACACATTTCATCTCTGTCATCCACTTGGATCAACTCAAACGGCAAAGCAATTTATGAAAACAATTCAATTTGAGTTTTGGCAAATGAAAACAAATCGAATTCCAATCCAATCGACGCTCGAGAAAGCCTTTCTCCTTGACTTGGCTTGGCTTGGCTTGACTTGACACTGTTTGGCAAACACGCCCACAACTCATAAGATCATTTCAAGATCAGGAGACGGGCCGGCGATGTGGACAGATTATCAAGAGGAGGGGGTGGAGTTGGCACGGGCTGAAGTCGAGTTTCACTTTTCGCTATTGTTAATCTCATTTCGGCCGTTTCGTGATTTAAATTAACAATTAAAGTCGATAATTAACAAAATGAAAACATTGTAAAATAAAAACGAAAATGTAAACGTAAAAATAACAAGGCAACACCCCTAAGAAAAACAACAGCCACCTCGAAATTAGAGAAAAAATCATAACAATCTATCAAAGTAACCGACAAATTTTCATGAGCCATACATCAAATGTATGTGTGTGTGTGTGTGTGTGTGTGTGTGTATGTGGCCATAACAATGCAGACGGAGCTCATTCAAAGCCAATAACAAATGCGAGATGACGACAGCGCGAGGCACCGAAATGAAGTCATTACCACAGACAACAAAGCCCCAGAGTCGCGCCCAAAACCCCAGCTGATGAGGCTGGGCCGCCCCGACATGAGCTCGATCGAACGAAACCACGTCATTGGCGAGCATAGATCGACGGAGATTTCGTCATCGAGCTCGAACTCCACACGTACCGATGGCGATTTTCAGTCCAGGTCCAAGTCAAATAAAATTTATGACTGTCATAATTACAT